ACACCCTCTCAGTCACATTGCGAGGCGGAGGGAGAGAGGGAGGGAAAGGGAGAGAGGGAGAGAGAGAAGGAGAGAGAGGTCAGGTAAGGCGCTTGAGGGCGTGGGAACGTGGGAGGAGAGGTCGAGTGACGGGAGACGAGGGACAAGGGAGGACGCCTCGTCTGAGAGGGAGAGAGAGCACGGCGACGCACCGTCTCGGTGAGGCCCATAAAGACCATGAGCGGGTCGAGGTCGTACGCGTGCGCGACAATGTTGACAACGGCGACCGTGAACGGGAGGATGACCTGCGCCAAGTGCGCGCCCGGTCCCGAGTCAGTGTGTGTGCGGCGCGAGGTCGCACGCACGAGAGAAAGAGAGCGCGAGAGCGCGAGAGGGGACGCACCCACAGCCTGCGAACTTTGGGCTTTGCATCGAGCAAGATGAACGCAAACGCCGTCGCGAGCGCAGCCCACAGCGCGACGAGGCCAACGACGAGCCTCGCGACCCCGCCGAGCGGCGTCAGGTTGCCGAACGCCTTTGCGCGCAGGAAGCGCGGGAACGCGTCGCCCTCGAGCGCGCGGTACACCCACTCTTTCTGCGCGTGAAACATGTCCGGGACGCGCGCCTGCTCGGCCGCCTCGCGGTCGTACGCCCCGTCCCCGCCCGCCCCACCGGCGCCGGCGACGGTCGGGAGCACGCTCGAGCTGAGCGGGAACGCCGTGATGCGCAGCGAGGCGGGCAGGTACACCTCCTTGTCGGCGCCCGGCATGAGGTAGCGCGAAAAGATGCGCTCGGCCGACGCGATGAGGTCGGTGCGCGAGATGGCGGCTGTGCGCGCGATGACGGGCTGCGCGCGGCCCCCCGTCGTCGCGCCGCCGCGGGTCGTGGTCGACTGGCGCTTGTGGCGACGGGACGAGAGGGTGCCGCCGGCGTGCGCGTCGGGCGAGGAGGACGAGGGGTCCTCGTCCGGGTACAGGGCGCGCAGGGTCGGCGAGAGCGGGTACGACGGCGTGCGTGGGCTCGGGGCCGGGCTCGGCGAGCGGCCCTGGTACCGCGCCGCGTCGTGCTCGCGCTCGCGCTCGCGCTCGTCGTCGGCCGGGTTGCCGCCGACGACGACGGGGGGCGGCGCGAGGTGCTCGGCGCCGGCGCCACCGCCGCGCTGCTTCTCGTCGAGCTCGTCGCCGTCGCGGTACAGGTCGCGGTCGCGGTGCGGGTACTGGTCGCGCGCAAAGCCCTTCTCGCCGCCGCCGCCGCCGGTGCCGCCGCCGAGGTAGCCCGGCGAGCTGAGGTTGCTCGCCGACGTGGGCGGCGAGCCCGGGCGCGCGTACCGCTCGCCGTCGTAGTCGTCGCTCGCCGTCGTCGTCGTCGTCGTCGCCTTGCCGGCGCTGTCGCGGAGCGGGTCGCCACGGCGGATGCCCGTCACGTGGCCATAGATGCTGCCCCTGGTCGTCGCGAGGTGGTGGTACTGGGGCCAGTCGTCCTCGACGGTGCGGCCGGCCTTGCGCAGGTCGGAGAAGTAGGCGCGGCACAGGTTCTCGTGCTGCTGGACGTCGAGCCAGAAGTCGAGCGTGTCCTCGGAGCCTTCGCGTTGGAGGAAGAGGTAGAAGCAGTACAGGTCGACTGGGGGCCGGGTGCTGCGGCGGAGGACCTCGGCGAGAGAGGGGAGGCGGTTGCGAGGGGGTTGAGCGGGGCGAGGACGGGGAGGAGCCATGGCTCTCGAGGGTGGCTGTGAGGGGGGAGGGGTTGGTCAGTGAGGGTGCTTGTGGCTGCTCTGTCGGGCTCTCGGTCGGTCGAGGCGGGCCTGTGAGGACCTCAGAGGTGGACGCGCTCGCGCCCTGCGAGGGTTCGGCGCGTCGTCGTCGAACGACGAGGGGCGAGCGGGGCGTGTGGAGGTGAAGGAGAGGGATACAGAGACTCACAGGAGTGCAGTCGAGGGGACAGGCCACGCGTGGCTCGAGGGGATGGGTCGAGGTTCCGAGGTCGGGCGTTTGTTGATGAAGACGGGCGACGACGAGGGAACGCGAGGTCGAGGACGGGCGAGGGTGGGTGGTAGGGCCGTGCAAGGGCACCGAGGTCGAGCTAGTCGGAGCAGGTGTTGCTGCTGCTGCTGCTGCCGAGGGTCGACACAGACCAACGAGCCGCTCCCTCTCCTCCTCCTCGTCCTCCTCGTGTCGACCTCGTCCACTCACCCTCGCAGTGAGCATGGTGTGCCTTGCTGCACTCTGTGCTACCCTGGCAGCCTCTGTCGCGCTCGCCGCACCCTCGCCGCCCCACCAAGTCCCGCTCGCGCTCCCCCTCCCCCTCGCTCTCCCGCCCCACTTCCCCTCGACGACCAACCTCGCCACCCTCCTCGCCCAGCTCCCGCCAGACCACGCCGCCCTGCTCCAACAACACGTCGACGCCCACCCGGAACCCCGCACCCTCCAGTTCAGCGACGACCCGCACGACCGCCTCGTCCTCCCCGAGGGCGCCAAAGCTCTTCTCCGCCTCCAGGGCACCACACGCTTCGTCGATGTCACCGACGACCACCTCTCGCCCGCCGGTGCGCCCACCCTCGCTCCCCCTCTGCGTCGCCGGCCCTCCCACTGACCTCCCACCTCGCAGTCGCTCCCGACGACGAGCCGTCGTACCCGCACACCATCACGCACAACGCCTCGTCTCTCGCCCCCTTCTTCACGCACATCTCGCTCGACCACATGCACGACTTGTGCGCCGCCCGCTCCCTTTCTCTCTTGCGCGCACCCTCGATTCGGGCGACTCGGCGACTGACCCCTCCCTGCCTCTCTCGCTCGCTCGTCGCCGCAGCCTCACCAACTTTACGGCCTACTTCACGCGGTACTACCGCAGTGAGCACGGCGTCGAGTCGCAAAAGTTCCTCCAGGCCCACCTCGAGCACGTGCGTCCCCCTCTCTCCCCCTCTCTCTTCCCCTCAACCTCGCGGCGCGCCCGCTCATCCCCTTTCTCGCCGCCGTCGCCGCGCGCAGCTCCACGCGACGCTCCACCCCTCGGCCAACCTCACCGTGACCCCCTTTGTCCACCCGTCGTGGCCCCAACGCACCCTCATCCTCCGCTGGACCTCTCGCTCGGTGCCCGCCGACGCCCCGATCGTCCTCCTCTCGGCCCACCAGGACAGCACCAACGCGCTCCCGTTCCTGCGCGCCCCGGGCGCAGACGACGACGGGTCCGGCACGACCGCACTCGTCGCCGCGCTCGAGGCGCTCCTGCGCGGCGCGTGGCACCCGACGACCCACGCGCTCGAGGTGCACTTTTTTTCGGCCGAGGAGGGCGGACTGTTGGGCAGTGGCGAGGTCGCGAGAGCGTACAGGGAGCGGGGGACGAGGGTGAGGGGGATGTACCACATGTGCGTCGGGCGGGGCGGGGGCCGAGGGGCGCGCGCTCGAGCCTGTCTCTCTCTACTTCTCTCTCTCGAAGGCCGGCACTGACTCTTTCCTCCGCCTCCCTCTTTCCTCTGCCTCCTTCTCCCCACCTCGCTCCTTGTCCATCGCCCTCTCTCGCCGTCACCCTCACTCTCTCTCGTCGTCACCCTCGCTCCCTCTCCCTCCCTGTCGCCGCTCCCCCTCTCTCCTGCCGCCCTCCCTCTCTCGCACCTCCTCCGTCGCTCTCCCTCTCTCTCTCCCCATATACCTCTCCCTGTCCTGCCACCACCCTCGCGTCCCTTCCCTCCCTCCCCTCCCTCCCCTCGCGCACGCGCACGCACAGGGACGTCGTCGGCTACGTCGCGCCCGGCACGACGCCCTCGATCGGCCTCATTACGGACGGCACCTCGCGCGCGCTCACCGACTACCTCGCGCGCCTCATCCCGCACGTGTCGCACCTGCCCGTCCGCCCAACCGAGTGCGGCTACGCGTGCAGCGACCACGGCAGCTGGGACCGCGTCGGGTACCCGGCGGCGTGCTTGAGCGAGGGCGCGTTCGACGACTCGGCGCCGTAGTGCGTTCGCGAGCGTTTCTCTCTCTCTGCCTTGGCTGTACGCGGCGCGCGCACCTCACTGACGTGCCGCGAGCGCTGTTTTGCCCCCCCTCTCGTCCCACTCCTCCCTCGCCCTCTCCCCTCGCCCTCTCTCGCTCCCGCACGCGCCCCGAAACGACCCCGCAGCATGCACACGGCGGCCGACACGCTCGACCAGCCCTCGTTCTCGCTCGCGCACGTCGCCGAGTTTGTCAAGGTCGCCATCGGGTTCGCGGTCGAGCTCGCCGGGTGGGAGGTGCACGTCGGAGGGCGAGGCGAGGGGGTAGCGGCGAGGTGAGAACCCCCCCCCCCCCCCAGGGCTTTTTTGTCCCTTTTTGCGAGCGAGACAGGGTGGCGCCGCAGAGCGAGAGCGAGAGCCCAGGCGAGGCGAGCGGGAGCATGTTGAGCGAGCTTCGAGGTTGACATTGTCGCCCGCTCGACGTCGCAGGCGGGCCCGGAGCGCTCGCAGCACCCCTCCCCCCCTCGTCCTCTCACACGCTCGCTTGCGCTGCTGCGTCCACACGATCTACAGCCCACGAGGCCCACCCGCCCGCCATGCCGCGCGCGCGCGCCCCACCGCGCTCGCCCTCTCCCTCCTCCTCCTCCTCCTCGCGCACCCGCTCCCTCTCGCCGACCCCCTCCCCCTCACGACGCAAGCCCGCCGCCAACCCAACCTCGACCCTCGTGCACCACTCGATCCCGCCCTTCTACGCGTGCTACCTCCTCCGGTCGTTCGCCGCGCGCCCGGGCCGGGCAGGGCAGACGTACATTGGCAGCACGCCCGACCCGCCGAGGAGGTGGAGGCAGCACATGGGGCTCGTCAAGGGTGGCGTGAGTCTCTCTTGCTGTTTGGCTTCTCGAGAGGGCGCGGAGAGGACAAGGCGCTGATGTGGTTGCCTCCCCCTCCCCTCCCTCCCCACCTCCTCCTCCTCCTCCTCGACCCCTCCTCGACCCGTCTACTCGCGCATCTCGCCTTGCCCTCTCTCGCCCGCCCCGACCTCGACCTCGATCTCGCTCCCGCCCTCGACCTCGACGCGCAGGCCTTCAAAACCCGCCTCGGCCGCCCGTGGGAGATGGAGTTGGTCGTTTACGGCTTCCCGACAAAGCTCCAGGCGCTCCAGTTCGAGTGGGCGTGGCAGAACCCGCACGCGAGTCGGTTGCTGCGCCAACAAGCTCCGGTCCCGCAGGCGGGGGCGACGGCGACGGCGGGAGCGCACGAGGAGGCGGCGACGAGGGCGAGGGTGAGGGCCGGGCGGGGGCGAGGGACGGGCGAGGGGCAGGAGGAGGACGGCGGCGACGACGGCGGCGGCGGCGGCAAGAAGGTCAAGGCGGCGGCACCGGCCGCCGCCACCGCAGCGCCCCAGTTCCCTCGCACACTCCTCTCGAACCGGCCCCTGTCCAAGGTCCAAGTGCTCCAGTTCATGCTCACGTCGGCGCCCTGGCGCGCGTTTCCGTTGCGCGTCACGCTCCTGTCGCTCGACGCGCGCGCGTGGTGGGACGCCGCGAGACGGTTGGGCCCCGTCGTGAGGACCGAGGCGGCAGCGAGGAGGTTTGAGCGCGAGAGGGAGAGAGAGAGGGAGAGCGAGCGGGAGCGGGACGCGTGGGGCGAGAGGGGCAAGAGGCTCGATGAGGTCAGGGTTGAGGTGAGGCGGGAGGGCGTCGACGGGGCGAGGCTCGTGCGCGATGGCGAGAGGAAGGAGGGCGACGAGGTCGAGCGCATGAGGGTTGACGATGGTGCGTCCCTCTCTCTCTCTCTCTCTCTCTCTCTCTCTCTCTCCCTCTCTCTCTCTCTCTCGCGGCGTCGGTGGGTCGTTCGTGGAGGGGGGAGAGGCGCGTGCGACGGTCGAGCCTGGGTGACTCTGAGCAGCTCGGCTCTCTCTCTCTCTCTGCAGACGTCCCACGTGTCGGACGAGATGGTGTCGAGGGCCCTCGTCGCACTCCTCGGCGCACTCGAACTCGCGGTCCGTCGCTCGGACCTCCCCTACCTTTCTAGTCCGCGACGCTGACTTGCGCCCTCGTTCCCTGCAGAGCGGACCCGACGCGCTCCTCACGGCGCTCAAGGAGCTCGGCATCATCAAGCTGCCCGAGGCGAGGGACGACCTGAGCGACGGCGTGCACCGCTTCTCGGTCGACAGAGGCGAGGTCAGGGTCGAGCCGCTCTGAGGTCGTCGGCCGCGGTTCTGCTGCTCGCTTGTTGTAGCTTTCCTTTGTCTCTCTGTCAGCTCGCACGTGTCGTA